TCACTCCACATCCATCTGGCAGCTGCTCCTTTCGGGTTATGTGTGCATCAATCTAGAACCAAGCCTCAATAATGGTAAAGTGGTGTCTGCCTGCCTAACTAACCGTCGCTTCCACATCCTGCTCCCTCCCAACCCTGCCCTAAGCTTTAACTGCCCACAGCCACCTAATATAGACTGTAAATGGGACAAGGAGAAACACAGAATTTAAAAACAACTGCTCACTTAGAGGAAGATCAATGTAGACCTTGTTTACCAGTTGGCTAAAGTGCTCATGTTTACCCCTGGGCGGATAAGGTTGCCTTTCATGGCCTCATGGTGTGGGTTTTGTTCTGTAGTAATACGGCAGTAAGAGTCACCTTATTTCATCTTTTTTTCTCTTTCAGCAAATGGTGAAGGAATTGAAAATGCAACTGTAGCCAGCCTCATCAGTGGAAATAGTTTGGTATGGGGGTGTTAAAAATCTCTACCATCTCTTTTCCCTTTTCCCTCATCCCAGTTGTTCTTTCCTTTAGAGCAGTTTCTTTCCCTTTCACCATATCTCTCATATCTTTTAGATTTTATTCACTCTTTCAGGTTCTTACACTATTGAGACAATATACAGGATAACTAAGACAGTTGTACTACTGATTTCTATTACAGAAATTAACTGAAAGGAACAGTTAATATTTAATTTTTTGCTCAATCTTATATGCCTACATTTATCTGAGTAACCAATTTGAAGATATCAATATGTAATACAACCACTGTTGTTAATTTCCTATCACCTGGTCTGAAATTCTATATTGCTTGTATTGTTTTTGTGTTATTTTGTAAGTGTCTGTGTGTATGTTAATATGTTTTCATTCTTTTATATTTAAAATAAAATTAAAAAAATAAATGCAAGGCTTTAAAAAACCTATACTATCTCAATAGACTACCAAAACACAAAGTTCTACCATTAGAGTCCTATTAATTTGCCTGTAAGAGAATGTGTCATATTTTGTCATTAGTACCAATTAATTTAAAATATAGCTTGAGAGAAAGATAAAATACTATTCTGTTGAAATTACAGTTAGGAAGAAGCTCCAAAAACAGAATGATCTGTAGCACAAGGGTAAGAACTAAGTCTTTGGGGCTGGAAGTACCTTTTGTAGTTTATAGGGCAGAGTGTTTATGGTCAGGTAGCAGGGTCCTGGTCACAAAAATGAAGAGGTGGGAGCTGAAGACAAAAGGACATCAATAGCAGTATGAAAAACTAGGCTGGAAGAAAACTAATTTTGTCTAGTACTTTCTCTGTGCAGATAACAAAGAAAAGAATTAACTTTGAATTGATTTAGAATTAAAACATATTGGCTTTCAGAATGGACATTCTGACAATGCTTTCTACTAGTCATTAAGGTTCTGTTCAAAATTCAGCATTTATGTGCTGAAGCTCATGGATAGAATGCCATACACTGCCTTAAAACTACAACCCCAACATTTGTTCTTTCTTCTTTTTCAGAATAAATAATAACTCAAATCTAATGTGTATATATGAGTTTTAAAACTAAAGCAAGATGATTTTAAGTACAATCTACTTGAAAAATGAACAAAACAAGTAAGACATTATATCCTGTAAAACTCATTAAATCTTTTGAGATATCTATGTTCACTTTGGAAACCAAAATGAATATAATTATTGACTGCTGAGAATACCACTTTAATCTTTATAACTACATAGAACATAAAGTTGAAAACATGAACATAAGCAAATAGGAAAACTGTGAATTTCTTAGTCTGTTTTTATTTTTTACTAAATAATGCAATTAATTACTCTAAAAATCCAAATTCTTTCATAGTATAGGACTAGTAAAAGGGAAAATAAACATTTATTAAATTTTACTAATATAAAGAATTTCTAAAATTTCTATATGTAAAATGTCCTTGACTTTATGTGGTAGGTATTGTTATCTCCATTTTACAGATGAAGAAAACTAAGAATTTAGAAGATTTGAATAATAACATGATATAGTAGCCAGAAATATAAGGATAATTGAAGGATCTTGAGAGGGAATTTAAATTCAATGGCTTTGGCTAAATAATTTCTTGGTACCTTATTACTTGGTTGCTTTAGTTTAAAATATCTGACACCCATATTAAAGGAAGAAAAATTTATTTCAGCCGGCAGTTTGTAGAGGTTTTAGGCCACAATCAGCTGGCCCTAAAGCAGAATGACATGGCAGTGGGGCATCACAAAGGAGAAAGAGTTCATGGCAGGCAGAAGGCAGCAAAAGCAAGCAGCCAGCAGCAAAGTAGTGAAGGACCAAGCAACAGCAGTGACCCTCTTTGTATTCCTTATATTCTATCCAGGCAACCCACCCTTTAGGATGGATAGCATTCACTCCCAGGAAGGGCCTTCCCATTATCTACTCTCAAAACTATACCAAGTCAATCCACAGACTAATTTAGTAATCACACAACCTTCATCCCAGCATCACTCACTCTAGATCCAGTCACCTCTGAAAAGCCCCCTCTGTGACTGCATGAGCCTTTGGGAGATATCTATCACAAACCATAGCAATTATTAATAATTTTAATTTTAAATGTTTGCTTAGAAGCAATTACAGTAAGTTAAGTTAACTCTACCATAATAATCTTAATCTTACAATCCTATGATTAGAGAATGAAATTTGAAATCTATTTCAACGTCATAGAATACTTCTCCCATAAATGGCTACTACTTTCTTATACTTAAATGACTATTCATTTATTACAATTCCATTAGTCCAACATATTTAACATGACAAGAGGAGACATCCAAACTCATGCCAAACCACTGAAGCAGACAATGCATGCAACTATTAACCCCCAACTACTTCATGTATTTATTCATTCATGCTAGGGATGTTGTGTGCCACCATACACCAGATGCAGTTCAAAACGCTAAAGGTAGAGAAAAAGCCTAAATACTTTTGGAATTCTTATTTTATTTTATTTTATTATTATTTTAAATTTTCTTAAACCTGGTTTTTGTTTGTTTTACTTTTGTCACAATGCTGGGGGTTGAACCCAAGGCCTTGTGCACATTAGGCAAGTGCTCTACTACTTAACTATATCTCCAGCTTAGGAGTTTCTACCTTTTTTTGGTGCTGGGGATTGAACCCAGGGCCTTGTACATACAAGGGCTCAACCACTGAGCCACATCCCTAGCCCAGGAATTTCTATTTTAATAGGAAAAATATATATCAGATAAATAGGTGTTTACTTGATTAGGACAGTAAATAGAGAATGGCTAGGTAGCTTAAAAAAAAAAAGTTAAAATCTTTTATGGCAAAAATTGACAGCTGTCACCCAGTGACTGTTATCTTCTTTGTAAATTACTTCTGATTTTAATTGCCTCCATAGCCATACAGAATACAAAACTATATATCTCTACATTTCTCCTTTGAGCTACATACAGTTACTCAACTAAGCTCTCCCAAGTGGAATGTAAACAGGCAAGGTATGGCAAATATAAATACATGTTCTAGTTGTGCATTTTTGTGCATGCCTGTAGTTCTAGCACTCTATGAGGATGAGGCAGGAGGATTGCAAATTCAAGCCCAGCTTGGCAACTTAGCTACCTAAGGAGAGTCTGTCTCAAAATGTTAAAAAGGGTTGGAGATGAATCTCAGTGCAAAGACCCTGGGTTCAATTCCAAGTCATACACACACACACACACACACACACACACACACACACTCACACACACATACTCACATACTTACACATTTTGAAAGGAAGAGATTGTGCCTTTTGCTTTCTCATTGTTTTTTCTTTTTCCTGCTGGCTAAAGCACAAATATGCTAATGGGTCCCCATGGGTCAGTATTTTAGGGAAAATACAGCAAAAAGTTAAAAGTTGAATGCACCTGTGATAATTAGGTCAATCATACCACCGTGATTTCCTATCTCGAGTTTAACTGTGAACAGTGTCTGTCTTTTTGTTTCCATTTTGCGGGATTTCTGTTACTCCCATTTGGCTTCACTTTGCCTTACACAAAGATATAGAAAAATGAAGCAGGGTAAGGACTAGAGGGCAGTATGATGTGAAGCTGTAGGCAGGACGATTGGGGAAGGTTCTCATCAGGACTTAGTACTTGGGCAGAGTCCTGAGTGTGTGAGAGAGTGGGCCACACGGAGTAGGGGAAGCATGTTCTGGGAAATTAAGAAGTTGGAAAAGAAAAATACCAGAGGAGGGAACGTGTTTCTATGCCCAAAGACCAGCAAGAGAGGCCAAGCTCTTTCCCACCATTCCCCCAAATAGAAGTCCTTGACTCCAAGCCTTAAAGAGACTGGTCAACTTTACAGGGACTATTCTTTATGAAGTCTCTTCAAAGAGTGTGACCCAAATATAAGTCTAAGTTTTTAGTACTCAGTTTCGTGGCTCAACCCATAGTGGCCCATTTCAAACTTCCTCCACTTCAACTTCAAATATTACCCACTTTTGTAAACCTAGCAGAAATTCTGAGGTTTGGCTGAGGGCTAGACCCTACCATTGCTTGTTTTCTTTCAATAGAAAGAAAACATTATTATTGTCCATTCTGCTAATTTTAATGACAGATAACCTATCATTCTATTTTAGTGTATGTATGTATTGCTTATCACCTCAATTAAAGTGTAGCATAAGAATTATATTTTATAAATCTTCTTTGGCTCTTTGAGTAGAGTCCATCTAGGTAGTCCAGGTTGGTCTTAAATTCACTATGTAGGCCCAGTTGGCCTTGAACTCACAGTTCTCCTGCCTCAATCTCTAGAGTGCTGGGCTTACATGCATGTACCACCAGACCTAGGTTTGTAGTTTTTAAACCCCTTTTGTTAATGATGTCTCCGAACAAAAGGTGTTTGATTAAAACTTCGTGCATGTCCAGGGAATGAATATTTCATGCAACCATCTCACAACCTAGACACACAATGGAGAGAACCTAATCTTTCCCTGTTCCTCCCTTACGCCAGGAAGATATGAGTAGCTGAAGTATTTGGTGCTATATATAGTCAGCTGATGTCAGCTGGATGCCGGTCCCTGCAGAAAGCCTCAGTCCCCAGTTTGAGTCAGAGCTGGGGACCATGCTGTCCCAGGTTCAAGGATAAAACCCATTGGGCCCCAGTGCCATCCATATCCCATCTCGAGTCTTCCTCTGCAGTCGGGAGTCAGCACTGCTGAAAAGCACGGTCTAACAGGAAGGTGAGTAAATTGTTTCCTAGAATATTTTATTAGTCAGTTGCCCTAGGAGGCTCAGAACTGTGACTCACAAATGAGCATTCTTTGCTTTGAAAGACAGCTGTTGGTGCCAATATTACAATGCCACCACCAGAGACTTCTGGTCTAATCTGTGTCTCCTTCATTTTTATAGTTTTGCTGGAATTGATGTACTGTGATGCTGATACAAATGAAGGCTAGTAAGGAAACAATGACAGATTAAAAATAAACCAGGGAAAAGAGAGAGGGTGGGTGAAGGAGGCTGTGCCTTCATTGTTTCTCGCTGCCTCATGACCATTGTACTAATGTACAGATGAGACTGCTCTGAGACTCGGAGAGTCATCCTCTGTTCACGGTGCTCGTGGATGAAAAACATGCTCTGTCTCCAGACAAGGAATGCACGTTAAAGTCTGAGTGGAGAGCAATCATAAATTCTTATAAAGAATAAGATGTTCTCTTCCAAAGGGAGGATTATAAAACATCCATTGAGTTTTTCACATTTTTCAATAATGTCCCTTTATTTCTAACAGGGAGCAGAAAACTATGCTCTCACACAGTACCGTGATGAAGCAGAAGAAAGAGCAAGCATCAGCCATCATGAAGGAAATCCATGGAAACGGTATCCAAAAACCCTTCACTCATTCGTACAGCTAGCTCAGCATTCAAGTAGAGCCTTCTTTATGTTATTCGCTATTCTACATGGCTTACTTCCTTCAAACCCTTGCTGTTCTGTCATAACAAACCTGGAGCTCTAGAGTGGGTGTAGAAAAGCCTATGATAATGAATCCTTTTGTAGTCCTCCTTTCTCATTTGGGAGCTATTTTCAGATGAACAACTGCTGTAAAAGGAATGAAGTAGTCTGACAGCTGATGCACGCTCTGCTTGGACTGCCTTGCACATTATCAGTTAGTATCACCCTCATTTTTTGGGTAGGCTTCGTATAACCTTGTCTTTATTGTCCATTCCTTATGGTCACTCTTGATTTCTTTTTCTTACACGGTATTAATCATTTAAAATACATCATTTATGAAAGCTATTGATTGACTCAAAATTAATATTCATTGCTTATTTAATCTGAAAACCGGCCTTCACATTCGATTTTTGATTCATTAATGTATTTTATGTGCAAAAACTATTTTTATTTATAATTCCTGAGAAGAGTGAAAAATATTTTTGTAGACTCAAAGCATTCACTAAAAAACATTCTAATATGTATTATGTGCAAGGCATTATTCTACTCTGTCCTTTTTTGTGACTCTTTGCAAATAGTTTTAGAAATCAACATTTTGGTTGTCATAAATGAAATACAATTTTGTTCATAAGCAAAAGATAGCATCAATTTTTAGGGTTAGGTAGAATATCTAGGTCCTTTTAAGGGTTGATCTGAGCCATTCCAGACATATTTGTGGAATTTTCACAGTATCTTTATTTCTTCTCCATTGGCAATGAGTATAGCCTTTCCCTGCAATAACAGTGAGATCTATACGCAGGATACCTGTGTGGGGGGCAGCCGGAACTGGATGAGTACTGTGTTTTCATACTGCAGCTTCTATAAAGCAAGTCGAACCACAGATGTGTACCTGCTCCCCATACCATGGCATGTAAAGGGTCCTGTTATTAAGTTTTGTTTTCCATTTTCTGCAATATGAAATCACTACTGGATTCAATTTGGTTCTCATGTTTTACTATGATATCGAATTAGTCTGGAATAAAATGAGAATAATTCTGAATCAGATACCAGAACTAAATTTGTATCCATTCAGAGTTACAAAATCTGTGCTTCTTTAAGTTCATATGCACCTTTTTTGTTTTTCTTGCTTCAGGCACTTTACTTGAAATTATTTATATAGTTTTCCTGCTCAACAAGGCAAAAATTAGATAGTCACTTGAATTTGAGACTAAATTGTTTGCCTTAAAACTAGACTGTAGGTGAGTTGGGCATGGTGGCAAATGCCTGTAATCCCAGCACTCAGGAGGCTGAGGCAGGAGGATTGCTGTGAGTCCAAGGTTAGCTTTGGCTACAAAATGAGTAAGTTCAGCCTGAACTGCATAGTGAAGCTCTGTTTCAAAAAAGACAGAATAAATAAATAAAAATAAACAAATGAAAAACTAGATTTAAGTTATTTTCAGTTTATATCATGGATTCTACTCTGTGTTAGCCCTGCTCTAGGGTAAAAAGTCTTTTTAAATTTTTTTTGGAAATACAACTGTTGTTTTCATGAAATATAAAGGGGAAAAATACAATAATGTCCCAAGGAGGAAAGAAACCTCAAAACTACTACCTCACCACCAGGAAATTTAGCTCTTTAAGTCTGGCAAAGCCATCTTCCAGCTCAGGATGAACTCCAGCCCTGAAAGAGGTGTCACATGCCCTGCCCGTGCTATGTCTCATAGTCCAGGTAACACAGGAATAGTGAGACTCACTGCAGATCAAACAGCTGTAGCACTTTCTCAAACAGTTCAAATATTTCATTTTCCTCTTCTGACATCTTTCATGGAAGTTTACGACGTGTACAACATGGTGTTTAGACATCTGGAGCTCCTGGGGTGGGGAAGGGGGTCATTTCTTCCTCTAAGGTTGGAGAATTGAAAAAAATTTAAAGAAACTTTTCTTTTTTTAAAGCCTCAATATGGTTACATGCATTACAGCAGTAAAAATTTCAGTAATTTAATATAAAACGTGCAACTGTTTTGGCCTCAATTATAAGAATAACCAAATCAAATCTGGGCTAGATCATACTTCATAAAAGTGAACAAGAACGGACCTCTGAAAACCCCTTTGTCAACCCCTCTTTTCCTGTGCATCAGGATATTTTTGCAGTATTGTAGTGTAGTTATTTTTATTATCCTGTACCCCAAAAACATGTAGCCTGCAGGAGAACGAAATGTGACCACGAGTCAGTTAGACATGCGGTGCAAATTCAGGGTATGGAAAATGGACTATGGCTGATAAATCTTTGACATAAATCAGCAGGAAAATACAATAAAAAGGGAGAGTTTTACATCAGATCATCCATCCTACAAGGAGAAATAATCTTAAAGAATTACTGAAAAATCCTCTCCTTAGGCTTTAGTGCTAACCGGATAGCATGAGTTTTAAAAGGTAGGTAATTCCCAGCTTCTACTGAGTACATCTATAATGTTGCTCCTTATAGATGTATTACGATTTGATGTTAAATTTTATACTGGAAGCAAATATACCACATGCCCAACATATAACTGATACAAAGTCTGCCTGTCGCCAAGCTTGTGTACTCTTAGGTTGACCCTTCTCATACTGCCAGTGATGAATGACCACCATTGTCCTCATCAAATTAGTAGCAGTGGAGCTACTGGTGAAGCTGTCCTGTGTTACTATTGTGACAAACTTCTGTGCATTCTATAAAAGTAGCTCAGCCAGTTGCTAGTACCAAGCAAGTGCTATTGTAAAAGACAAAAACACAAGACCTTTTGCCAGTATCTGTGCAAAAATTCATTGTGGGGACAAGAAAAGATGGCCTGTAACTCATCAGCTTTGTGCAGTCTTCCCTGGATTTGCGGATGTTTTCCAGGATGCATCATACTCCTCTCTCACCCAGTGACTCATTTCAAACTCAGAGACTGGAGGAAGAAAGAGGACTAGGGAAGGATAAAAGGATAGGAAGTAATAAATTGAAAGAGCAAGATATGTAGCAAGCAGAGAATGGAGTAAGAAGCTGCATTCTGGAGCTACTGGCATCTGTTTAGAAAAGGTGGGGAATATGAATCGGAATTAAAATAACCCTGAGAACTGAGAGGATGATATAGCCTGACTTTCAGCACAGATTTGTTACTGACAGTTCAGAATGGGAACTGCAGAAATAGGAAAGAAGACCACAGAACCTCATCAGGCTGCTTCTGTCAGCCTGCAGTATTTTTACCTGGGCTCTGGGGGAGGACTTTTTTTTGTATGCTTTTGGTTTGTTTTTGTTTTGCCTCTCAGGACTGGCAAACAGCTTTCCCCCCTGTGCACAGAAGGGAACTGGGCAGATTATTTTTGTAATTTCAGGAAAAGAGTTTAGCTTTGTGGTCTGAAAACAGGAAGCCCAGGTTCTCAGTGGAGTGCTGTTGTTGATAGTGAACCAGGAACCCTGAGTTCCAGACTAGGCCTCAGAGCCCTCATCGCAAAAGCAAGGAAGGCTGGACTCACTGACACATCGAACTCGAAAACTCCACCACTGCACTGGGCTCCATGCTGAAGTCAAAGAATGGTACTTTTGAGTTTTCCACCAGTAACGAAGGAAATGATAATAATGACATAAACTGCAAGGACGTGTTGAAAAAGTATGAAGTATAAGGTCTAGAATTTCAGAGGAAAGATTATATGAAGATGTCTGTTACTTCTCGTATGTGACCACATCTCAAACTAATTAACTTTCAACACCAACATGAAGAAAGTAGGAAGGCCAGATATACCTTACATCAAGTATAAAAAATCAGGGATAAAAGCAATGATTTAGTGTACATGTTTGTGTTTTGTTTTATATGATTTAACATTTTACATTAGACTTCCCATAACTCCAAGGAAAAACAAAGCCAGGAAAGGTTGTGTGTTTTTATTTTGAAAACTGGTGTGCTCTCACATTTTGCAAATTTATACATTTTTCTAAACATCTACACTTAAAAGGCCTTCCAAAAACTTACCAGAGCACTAGGTTAAATCATATTTTAGGGCCAGGGACATAACTCAGTGGCCCAGTGCCTACCTGCTAAGTGCAAGGTCCTAAGTTTGATTCCCAGTACTCTCCCCATCATATTTTCTACTAAAGTTGACACTGCAGAGTTTAATTCTAGCCATACTCGTCCATTGTCCTAGCTTGCTTTCTTTTTCTTACTATATCTCTCTCTTCCTTCCTTCCTTCCTTCCTTTTCTTTCTTTTAGAAGAGTTTAATTCTAGCTATATCATTTTATCATCCGTTTTTTGTGTTTTTTTGAGCCAAACTCACATTAAGTCACCTAAGCTGAGTTCAAATTCACAATCTTCCTGCTTCAGCTTCCCAATTAGCTGGATTTACAGACGTGTGCCACTATGCGCAGCCTCATCATCCTGATTTTCTTTGCTGCCATTTTCACTGTAGTATACTGTAGTCATACATTCTATAATAGTAACACATGTGCCATTTGTACAATTTAATCTGTATAACTCAATGCATTGGTAATCTTACTTCTTAAATGTTTACAGATTTTTTTACATCTCTTAAATTATAATATTTTCATTATTGACAGCTTTTAAAACTTTATAAAATAGGCTCAGAACTCAAATCCTAACAAAATACGTAAAATAGAAAAAAAATTATAGATGGGTTTTAAAACAATCTTTTATCTGTAAAAAGCTGACCAAAAAACTTTTTATCAATTGGAAGTTTTCAGGTATTACTCAGAATCACAATATGGATTATGATATTTTATATTATGGGTAATATGTATATGTTATGTGTGTTATTACATTATATAATAATATATATTTCATGGGTTTCTATTCTGTTCATATAGGCTGGCAGTAAATAGGCAGGAGAGTCCCAAGTAAGCATAGACAGAATCTCTTTGCCTCAATAGGACTTATAAATAAATAAGATAAAAAAATAAATAGGCCAAGTCTAAAGCAAATAATCTTCACCCAGTTTCCCTCCAATGGTTTTACTTATTCCATCAGATGGCAATTGGCAATCAAACATGGAGAAACAGTTTTAAGGGATCTTTTGTATAATTACAATTATTTGTAAGTGGATATCTTTCAAACTATGGATTAGATTCACTGATCTAACTACAGTTCTGGATCACTATAAATGACACCAGTAGGAAAGTATGCTTAGCAATATTATTTTCAATAGATGATCTAATGCCACAAAGATAATGTTCTAAGCTGGGAGGTCAAGGATATGTATCCTGAATAAGATATGTCATTTATCAGGCATCAAGATTAAACACACTGTTAAATCCCCATGCAAGGGTTTACAATAAAGAGCAGGAGACAGCTGAACTTGGGATCTCTCTGCTCAGTTGACAGCATTCTTCACTGAAAGTCTGAGCAATGCATGTGATCTTACATTAGATTCCCAACTCACAAGTGGTCCTGGAACTCCTGCTTTGGTGACATCACAAATTTAACTATTTGAAAGGATGGGAAGGAGCCTTGGATAATTTAGTTTATGTTTTTTTGTTTGTTTATGCAAAGTATGTTGACTTAAAATACTCCTGACACTGATGGATATGTCCAGTAGTATGCTAGTAAATATTTAACAACTGGTTCTCCAGGGAGAAAAACATCATGCATTGTAGAGTTTACCAGTTTCTGTGCTGTACCTACAACTACTATGGCCAATTTTGGGTTACCATTTTGGAGGCTCTAAATGCAACATATATGTACTATGCATTAGTTATATGATAGTAAATACTACAGTGTTTCTGACCAGGCAGATACAACATAATAAACATAAATAACCTGCAAGCATATATAATAGCAAAAAGTAGCAAAAGGATTATAATTTGATACTTTTGCATAATTTTGCTGTTTAATGTAATTTGTTTAATTATTAAGTGTATATAACAATTTTAAGAATGATGCTTTTGCGGTGTGTAGCCATGATAATTCCTGAAAATGTATGAGCTAACTCCTGTGAACTCAGTGCAAACAACCACGAGGGATCGTTCAGTGCTTCTGACCTGAGATATCTAAACTCCTTCAGATAGTCGCTTAGAGCCAGTTAACACTGGAGGAGAACTTACCGGCGATGCAGGGAAATGTAATGAAGAAGAAAAGAGGCTGAAAGTTGTTCAGTTACTTTGTGTGCCTTCTCATCACTAATTTGTCTTCTGTGGTAGCATAAATTTACTAGTAACAATGAATCATATTAGCTGATTACTTCTTTGTATTCCCTGCCATTGAGAACAGGTCAGTTCCTGGTTCTTTTGCACATTTATTACTCATAGCAGCTCCAGCGGTGTTTGCAGAGCTTTGCTAAAGAGTAGTGACTGTTTCTTGTAAAGCCAAATGAGTATGTAGCCGGTGGTAAAGGAACTTTTAAAAATACCTCTCTTTTCTTTTTCCTTTTTGAGATTTCACTTCTGGGCATCTAGGCCATCTGTCCTTTCTCTTCCCTATAACTCCATCTTTAATATGCATTTTGAATCTACTACAGTAAGGGCAAGAGAGAATAACTGTATCAGTTTGAATGCTTTTAGTGGAACATAACTGAAAACCAGAAACTAGCTCAAACAGTAAACAAAACTTACTGGTTTGCACAACTGCAAAGTGCAGAGGTGATGTGTAAAGCCTGGTCCAAAAGCATACGCATGGACTATGCAGCTATTTTCTACTCTGATTTCCTTGGGGTAAGCACCATTCCAGTCCTGGTGCTATTATTCTATCATATCTGTAAAAACATGCCAGCAGTTTCCTAATCAATATAATTCCTCCTGACATCCAGCAAGAAAAGAGAGTATCTTTGGCACATTTGCAGTGAAGGGTGTGTCTATTCCCTCTCCCTGGCCTTGGCCAGTTCACACTTGCTCCTGAACCAATCACAAAAGTGACTAATTCCCATCAAACACATCACAGAAGACTTGAAAAACACAGGGGCTACTGAGGTCACATGGTTATTTTAGAAGCATTGATAGAGCCACTAAGATAAGGGCTGTTAGGAAGAAGGAAGTCAGTTCTCAAATGTTCTCACATTTTGGTCTTGGGGCCCTCAGATTAGCTGTATGCCAAAGTTTACAATTTTGAACTTCTGGAAAGTCAGTGTAACATGCTATTCCTACTTTCTGGTCCTACTTTAACTGTTCATAATGACACAAATTACTCCAACTAATTATAGGAAAAAGAGAAGAGGAGAAGTTGAATTCTTCTTCCAGTTTCCTTACTGAAAATCCTTGTAGCTTTAACTGTAAGGAAAAAGATCCCACTGTTATGAAGATTGTCATCTCTGTATTATATAGTGTTTGCCTCTTTGGGATGTTTTATATTTCCTTAAATTGTACCATTAGAAAGACTTTTCAGGAAAAAAATATACATTTATTTGAAAACATTACTTGTAATACATAATTATATGTGTAACTCTAGAGAAAGGTTTGGTGGACAAAAGTCTGGGCTTTTTATTTTTTAGTCAAAAAATAGTCTGTTCCCCTCCTCTTTTTCCCTCCTTCTTCTTCCCTTCCTCTCCTCCACTACTTGAATCTTTTCTAGTTGTATTTCAAGACAAAGATTCCCCCTCCTTTTGTGCTATATCGCATCACAATGAGTAACACTTTATCTCTTCTACCTTTTATGATCCAGAGGGAACTTGCTATCATGATGCCAAGAATCAAATAGTTGAAATAACTTACTGTTGTCACACTGTTTAGTACATAGAGTGATATTCAAACACTGACAAACAATCCAGCTTTTCCATCCATGTTACAAGCATGGAAGAGATGCCAACTATATAAACAAAGGTGAATATGTATTTCCTACAGAACTCGGCCAAGCTGGCAGATGATTCCAGGATATCTCCGGTTGTGAAATATTCCCATCCTCTCTGTTCTGTCTTAATCCTTTTCCACAGGCTTTCTCTACTATCCCTGGAAACTGTAAAGCACAGTGCTGTGTTATGCTTTTAAAAATATATTAGAGATCTAGACCAAGCTGCTCTGCATTGTATTAGGAAGAGGTAGAAGTCTGAGGTCTCTCCTTGGCCCCCACTGAAACTTGAGGGGCTCCTCCTCATTACTGCTGAGAGAGGATAGGAGTTTGTACTGCAACAGACTTCAGAGGGAAGAGCAGGGAAGAGCTTATTGTAGGGCTACAGGGAAGAAAGTTCCAACCTCCCACCAGCCTACTGGGCGTGCTGATGAACCAGGCTACAACCCTGCAGGGTGAAGCTCCAGGCTGTCCACTTGGTCTTTGTTAACATGTATGGGGATGGGGCCAAAGGTTTTCCTGTGATGCTTGGCCAAAGTAGAATGGCCATTGTCTAAATATTTTCTATCTTATGAGGCTGCTCTTTTCCTGGTCTTTTGACTAGAATAACAGCCTTTTGTTGGGGCTTTATTTGTTTCTCCCCTTTGGTGCTTCTGGCCAGTTCCTTGAGCTTCAAGTCTGAGATATGTGAAGCTAAAAGAAAACCCAAGGAAACCATTTTCATGTTGTTCCTGGGGCTCCTTCTTCTCTCCACTCTTCTGAGTCTTCATACATAATGCCCAGAATTTTTATTTGCACTTAATAAATGTATAGGGTAGAAGGAATATGTCTACCCCATCTTCCCAGAACCGGAAATCCTAATACTGTGATTTTTATAGTTAGTGGAATTCCTCTCCATGTAATATCAAAACATGTAAAGAAATTGATCTTTTCAAAGCAAAATAGGGAGAATCATAAATAAATGATTCTGATTTATATTAAATACTCCCAAAAGTCTAATTATTGTGGCTAATCTATCATATCATCTAAGACTGTTGCTTTTTTTTTGTACCAGGAATGGCACTTAGGACCTTGCACTTGCCAGGCAAGTGCAACTATTGCTTCAATCATTCAAAATAATTATTTTCTTTATGGCCTAATTTTTCATCCTGAGCAATTTCACAGCATTCTTCAGTGGCAAAAGGATTCTGTGGACGATACAAAAAATATATTCCTGATTCTGGACACAAGGGAAGGAGTTTCATCTCTTTAGGATTTTGGAAAAGCACTTTAGTAATAGGAATAGGAAATAATACTCATTTTCTTAACATCCACTATATTTAAGACACATGGGACTCAAAGATTAAAGCATAAAGAAAATTTAGACCATAAAACAAATGTGACTCAGTGGGAATATCCATAAGCCATGAATATCTACACAGAGATATTTTAGAGGAGTAATTCACAGAAATGGCATTTGAGTTGAATGGGAAGGGTGTCCATTTAGTACTTATCATCTTCCCACTTTTTACAGGCTCCTTCGTGCTGAGTACAGAATAAATAGTATTTTGACACAAACTGGGAAATGGATAGGATGGCATGCAGGGTAGTACTTCAGTGTAGGGATAGCTCAAACTGACACATAAAAATATGAGGAGAAAAGCAGAGGTTCTTAGTATAACAAGTGGTGCTGTTTGAAAATTGCATAAATATACAAATAAGTCATACTAATAGTAATTAGCTAACTTTTATTCACCCTATTTGCCTGATATGATGCTAAATGATTTATATGAAGAATTTCATTTAATTCTCCTATCAACCCTTTGTAGTAGGTATTATTATTATCATTATTGTTATTATTATTATTCATCTGTACTTTAGCGATGAGGAAATTGAGGTTCAGGGCAAATAAGTAACATACTGATGTCTATGCAGTTAGCAAGTGGTGGAGGCATGATTTTGCCCAATGTTGTACAACTAAAGAGCCCCTGTTTAAATTACCACAATAGCAGACAACAAATTATGAAAGTTAAGAAAGCATTAGAAAATGTTTACTGTGAGTTTTTCATGCCAGTGACATGGTTTTACAGATGTAGATGGCATAGACCTGGGCAAGAAAGTCAGCATCCCCCGAGACATCATGTTGGAAGAATTATCCCATCTCAGTAACCGCGGTGCCAGGTTATTCAAGATGCGTCAAAGAAGATCTGACAAATACACATTTGAAAATTTCCAGTATGAAACTAAAGTACAAATAAATGTAAGTACGACTTGATCTTGCAGTATCTAAGTGGACAGGTGACATATCTAACTCTGTATGTATTTCTAGATTCTCCCACAAGTTACTCTACATAGTTTCTTTTAGTTGATTCTGTTAGACATTTTTTTATTCGTGATAATGAATAGTTTAGGTGATTAAACAAAAGCAGTGTTACATATGATATGAGCATGCTTTTAGTTCAGCAGGGACACTGTAAGCTTGCAGATCTGGCACTGAGGAACGGCTGAAAGGAGGGAGAGGGAGCGGAGAGAAGTCACTCTAAAAGTTTCCATGGTCTTATCGCCACCGGTTAAATGTTTGAGATGGAAACACATAGCGCTCCACAAAGTAAGGATAAGCATTGTTCTGGCTGATACACACTGTCCCTGAAAAATGTCTGGAAACTACACACATAATGTCCCCATAAAGCACTTATTTCACATTGCATATGGAAGTCTGATACCTGTTAAGGACGAAAGCAATGTGGGTATAACACTGGATAAAAATTTCCTCAACTATAAGCTAAAAAAAAATCAAACTAATTAATTAAATTATATTTTACATATTGTTTTAATATTGTATTCACTTAGACTGCGATTTGGAGTGACTGTAGAGGAAGAAGCTCATAGGAGGAAGGTGACCAGCTTTGGGAAAATGGCTTTAAAAATCAGGCACCAGGAATGAAGAACCAAACCTGAAGAGTGTATGGGCCTAAATGTGAAGAGCTTGTGGAAACTGCAACAACTAGGTTTTATTCACGGAGGGCTTCTTTCTATAGTTATGAATGCTCTTTAAGTTTCCTTACACAGAACAACTTCAAAGTTCATCAGTTCAGTCACTAAGAAGTTGTTTTGAACGGAGAGCTCACTTGTCACACAAGATTGATTTTACTAACTTCTTCCACCAGAATTACTAAAGCAAACTATAAGTAACATCCTCACCCACAAACAACAAAACTTGTTCATTTCTACCATTTGTATTTCTCTTGCTCCACTTATTAAATGTAGAGAGGATATTTTAAATGAAAAATTGGGGAGCTTGGGATATGGTTGAGTGAAAGACGGCTTGCCTAGATTGTGTGAGGCCTGGGTTCAGTCTCCGTCCTTCACATCCTTGGATTAAGTCTAGTTAAACTGTAGATTCAATTAGACGTCAAATTATACTCAACTACAATATTTACATTATGAAGGCTGATTTTTCACTTGAAGTTGTGAATAAAGATAATGTTCTGTTACCTCATAATTATGCATAATATCCTCTTAGCAGAAAATGCCTGTGGCTAGTACAGTGTGAGCTGAAAGTAATCCCTATGCCATCTGACATAGTCTGATTATGTAATCATATTCTTTCACTAATGATAACAGAGAAGACACTTCATGAAATAATTTAAAACAAGGTAGCTTAAAGAAAGTCTTGAAAAATCATCTACAAGTCTAGACATCTAAGCAAAAGAGTAATGTCAATTTTCCTAACTTCCATTTACAACTGGAAGAGTAGTACTTTAACTACAGTTCTAAAGAAAGGTACAAAGAGCTTTAAAATGATCTTATGGGCTGGGCGTGGTGGTGCACACCTATAATCCCAGCATTCAGGAGGCTAGGGTAGGATGACCAATGCAAATTCCAGGCCAGTCTGGCCTCCTTCAAGGTCATCCTGAAATACATAGCAAGACCTTCCCCAAAATAAAAAACATTAAAACATCTTTACACACACAACGTATTCTGTTATCACCAGTATCTCAAATTATTAACAATAATTTTACATATCCATGGTCAAATGTTCCAGTTATCTATAAAAAGTGTAAGAATTCGTCTTGAGAATTTTTCACTATTTCTAGAAAATTGGGCACTAAATGAATAAAATAGCCCCAACCAGGTATGTTAAATAATTAAATTCTGATAAATCAGGACAATAAACAACAATGAAGTATGCAATTAAGTTGCCTCTCATTGAATTACATAATGTACTCCAAAGACTGATGAAATTCACTGTCTCTTCTTTACAAATGAGGAAAGTTTATTCAAACAAGTACGCTGATTTGATTTAAGCACCAACATGCTAAAGGAACCTGAAACTGAGCTCTTAGGACGCTAGCACCAACGCCCATTGTGATGAAATTAAGGGGACTCTAGCCTGGGAACTGGGAGACCAGGGCTGGGCCCTGGCTCTGTCATCTACCAGGTCATGTGGAGTTAATTTCAGTTCCCCTGTTTTTATGGATTTCTTTTCTCATCTCTAAGATACTGGTATGCACACAGATGCTATGTACCTTCTAGTACGAACAACTGTGTATTCTCTGATCTTAATTCTAAAAATTGTCTGCACAATAAAGTACTAAGGAAGATAGCAGGCCACACAATATGATACATTCATTTTGTCCAGGTACAAATTTGTAACATTGTTAGTATGACAGAAATTTTTAAAATAAACATTTTCAAGTCTATTTCCATATACTTATTTATACTTTCAGCAAATATTTATTGAGTGTCTATTATGTTCTAGATTCAGTACTATCTTGGAAGTTTAAAGATAAATAAATGTAGTCTTTGTCTAATAATGGAGACCATAGATAGCAACTATTTACTTACAATCTAGTTCTTGAATCACCTTTATATGGCATATCACATTAGCCTAATTTATTGATTATATTTTCTGGAATTACTTTTACCTCTTCCCTTGAACTATAGACATTGTGAAAATAAAGATTTAAGGGGGGCTGGGGATTTAGCTCAGTGGCACAGTGCCTGCCTGGCAAACGCAAGGTCATGAGTTCGATTCCCGGTACTGGAAAAAAACCAAAACACAACCAAACAAAAAAAAGATTTAAGGTAGCTTCATATATTTCTTATTTTATAGTATTTTAGGACCATATAGATGAAAATATAAATCAAATCTCTAGTAACTGATGCCATTTGTTCAAACGTTAAGCACTATTTAAAAACAAAATGTAGAAGTGTACTTTTGAGCTTACTTGACCCCTTAGGGACACTGGCAGATTCATGTCATATATACTTTTTATGATACAATAATAACAGGAAATGTGTGTTCTTACAAAGAAACATTGCTTCTTACATCAGCCCACTTTGAAGCCCTAGTTCATGAACTGAGTTACTTCTTAAACAAAAGGCAAAAAAGAAAAGAAATGGATGAAGGAAATAGGCCTTCAAGGGAAAACAAAATGGAAAGTAACTAATGATAGTTAAATTCTCTTCTATAAATCATTATAAAAAGATATTAGACTTTTCCAAAGCTCTATAAATATTAAATAATACTTAAATAATATGCTATAATTAAACAATAAATAGTAGAGGGAAAATATACTAAAAAAGATTTTTGAAATAAGTCCCAATTAAATATATATTGGGATTCTGAATATATGAGTTTTTCAAAACATAACTTACACATACTTAGCCCAACAAACCCCAAAACACATGCTTTTATTTATGTTGGTATTTCAACAGAAATCATGTTATTTATATTATATGTATGTTTTTAACTTATACCTATAAGATATGGTTCTAGTTTTATTTTCTTTAGGATCAATTTAAGATAAATAGCAATACATTTAAATTGGTCTTTCCAACTTTTATGAAGGGAGTTATAGATGATTATGAAATGCTTTAATTTAAGATTTATGTCACAATTAAAGTCACTACCTAGCTATTAGAAGGCTCTGTTTCTACAATGAACTATGCTAGTGGAAGTACTGGGTGTCTCCTAATAATTAATGAATAACTGAGAGAGTTGATTTTCCTGCTCGTCGTTAATTCCCAGGAAAGTTTAAGGTTAGTATTCTCAAAAATTAGTGTAGATAGAATGTTTTATAAGTTTAGGTGAAATTCACTTACTGGACAAATTCAGAAAATTTAGAAAAAGGTAATTCTGTACCCATTATACATTTAGATTTCCTATACTTATCTGAGTTTTTTTTTATTCATAATTAAAGTTAGCAGAAACTGTTCATTTTAAACAGGTAGTGTAGGTTCAGAATTTTAAAAAATTAAAAAATGCTGATCTAGTCCATGAAGTCAAACACTTAGGATAGAAGCTAAACTCAAAATGCAAAATGTTATACATGTGCATATGTGAAAGTGCTTTAAATTAATTATTTAAAATAGTCTTTAAGTATAACATTATCTTAGAACTAAGGAAGGCAGAGTAATAGTGTTCAACTAGATTTAAACAGGACTGTAAACTAGTTGGGGACCCAAAATGACACAAATGCAGTAACAAAGAATCCAGCTACCAAGAACAAATAAGAAAGATCTTGAGAGGGTGGTACAGATCTTAAGAAGTGTTGAGATGTGAACTATGGACAGACTTCTGGTAAGTTCTGTCAAAACGCAGCAGGGAATGTGAAGATGCATCACACAGGGAGTCTAGGCTCTGGCCTCGGGAGGGAGGGCAGCCCACGCAGGTGAAACAGTCTGGGAAGGCATGGACGGGAATGAAAACAGTAACACTCCAGGAAACTAGCTGGCAGAAAGGTGCTGGTGGGCGTGAGAGGTGAGGAGTATGAGCCCGTGCAGGATCTGCAGTGCAGGATCTGGAGTCCTGAGCGCGAGCTTGCGTTTCATCCTACGGACAATAGGAGCGATTGCTAAAGACCTGAGTCATCCTGTGCCCAGAAGCACTGACGTTCAGGCTGAAGGAGAAGGGCCTGGCAGGAAATGAACAGGAGGCGGTTGACTGCGTGATGAAGGTCTGAGGGACGAGGACATGCACACGAAGACCATGTGAAAAGAAAAAAAATGTTTTAAAGTAGGTCATAGTACCAAAAAATCAGCTAGATTTGATTGATTCACTAAAATTTTAGCAAATACTATTTATGCTATATAAGGCACTGTCAAAGGCTATGTAAAAATGAAATAGAGGAGTATAGAGAAGTCCCTGTTCTCAAGGAGCTAGCAAGCTAGTAAGTACAACAACAACAAAAGTTGATTCAAGAGGCAAATAAGGGCAAATGATGTGTGAGAAGCAGAAAGAAAGACAGTATTTTGACCATAGTATGAGGGAACCTCAGGGAAGGGGTGGCTGCTAAACCAGAACAGATCTGACCATGGAAATAGTGACGGAGGCCTCTTGCCTGGGGAAGGCCTGAGACCCAGAATCAAAAGTAGGAAAGTGTAGTGGTAGTGGGGAGCCATAGCTGGTTTAGTCTGATGTTTAAGTTACATCTTCAAAACTGCTGAAAGATGAGGCCAGACAGGCAGATCTGAGTGCAAGACTTCAGCCAAGTGGGAACCTGAAGGTAGGTTTGCAATTAGATACACAAGGTTTAAAGTTTTAAAAATGTTTACAGTTTTAGTACTTTTGCTATAAATGTCAACCTTAGCCAGAGACAGCTATAAGAAAAATCCTTCCCAAAATATGAAAACTGGAAATGAAGTTGACTTTAAATTAAATCTGTTTAAAAAACTATTCTTTGAATATATATATGTATATTTTTTCTTGGAAAGTTAGTACATCAAGGCAAGTTATCAATCTTGTACAAATATAATGATTTCATTTAATCACTATCTGCTCTAAGTAAGAACTCTGATGCAGCAGGCAAAAGAACAGGATTAGATGTAAACTATTGTGTGAAAATAGACTTTGCGGGGATGCTACAGAGATTAACAAGAGTGCAAAAGGCATTTGGGGAGTGGCTGTTTATGGGTGAAGTAAGAAAAAAAAATAAACTTTATTTCCTTTATAATGTTAGCAAATGAGACCCTAAATTTATAGCCTTTATGATATTTGAATTTTAGGACAAAATAGACTTTATTATAAAAATTCTAGAAAGTTAAGTAAGTAATAAAATGTAAAGGTATATTTCATCATAAAAATCTAATAAATAAATACAGAAATATAAAAACAGTAGGTATTTTCTACATATATCTCACAGAAAAATGTCAACACAGTCTGTTTTTGTCATGCTCTTGGCTAAACTTTTCTTTCTCAATTTGACCTTTTACACTTATATTTAAGATGAGGGTGGTGATGCATCCCTGTAATAGTGGCTCTTTGGAGGTTGAGGCAGGAAAATAGCAACTTCAAGGCCAGTGAGGTGTACATAGCAAGTTCGTGGCCAACCTGGACCACAAGACCAAGGTGCTGTCTCAAAAAGAAAAGTTTCTTATAAAAAAAAAAAAGAAAACTTTCTTTCAGCATTTTATTTTCTAAAAATTACAAAATGTACTTTCTAGAAGTCCATGGAACTGAAAGTACAAATGACTTTTCTGTTTGTTTTTTATTTGGGGAATAGAAATTATATGTATATCTGCTATTCAAATTTCATATTAAATTTTAAAACTTTCTACATACTAAGGAAACTAATTAAAACTCAACTATAGAATGAAATGCTAATGCAAGAATCTCTAAGTTAAGTATTTGACCAATATGCTCTGCATTATTAGATTAGTAAATATTTTAAAGTTAAATACATTTATCTTATAGGAATGTTATGAATAGAAAATTAAATAATTGATATGAAGCACTAATGTAGTTCCTGGCACACAGTAAGGTTTAATAAGACTCGGTTAATTTTGATTTTAATTATTATTCTATGATGTCATCATAAAATGAATCTTAGATTGATATCAACAGAATTTCTCATTGAACTCAACCTTATTACTATGTAAATTACTGAGGCCATCTAAACAATAAAGTGGCATTATATTTAAACTTTAGATAGACAAATGGAGTCTTGTATGTACAACTCTTATTAGTGTACCTAATATTTTAGTTTGCACTTTTGATCAATTACAGCACAATCTTTCTATGCAAAATGAAAAGATGGATGGAAGCCACTTGGAAGGTAGTTCACAGCAAGCACCCTTGACTCCTCCCAACACCCCAGATCCACGAAGCCCACCCAACCCAGAGAACATTGCACCAGGTAACCAACCCCCTGACAAATAGAATGATAAAACTGCTATGTACTTAAGATATGACCGTGCCATTTGCACCATTTATTGAAAGTCATTTATATGAAATAGCTTTTCTCATTAAATATCTGTTTTAGATAAGCTTAAAATAATGGTAAAAATTGAAGCCTAAAGAATTATGTAAGATACTTATAGTAGCTGTAGGATTTTTCAGATAGTCCATTCTTGCCAATTACTCGTTATATTGAAAATTAAGCGATTTGTAGTTATTTTGAAATTCTACTTGTGTGGAACTCTATAATTTATGAAATTCGATGATATACACTGTCTTTAATTTCTCCATATGTGTGACATAGTTATTACCCATTATAATCATCATTTTATAGATTAAGAATGTCTACAGATTATGGATGTCAATGAGGCCATATTGATTGGTCAAGAATTAAACACAACACCAAATTTACAGGTGCCTTTTGTGCAATGACCTAGTAGAGATTGCTATTATTAGTTTCTGCTCCCTCACAAGACTTTACATGCAGTCCCTTAAGAGTGTACATTTCTTCATTATCTTAGAAGCAAATCCTTAAATAGTATATATTATTTAAAAACATTATTAATATTGAAAGAAACTTGGAAAATCATATTATCTATTCAGACAATAACGTTTCAAAATAGCTTCCAGCAAATTTGCTGTCTTTGAAAATTCAAATATTATGTACAAAGTAAAGTTTTTAACTTTAAAACTTCTTTTCTTGAAAGTATCAATATCTGTCATGTTCTTATAGAATAAATGGTAAATTTAGCAAAAGCACTACTATAATTTTTCTCAAATAGGAATACTACACTACTTTTAAAAAAATGTACATGAACCAATTGTGTAACACTAACTCTTTTTGAAATGTAAGTTGAACTGTCAATGTGGAGCATTGATAGAATAGGGCAATCTTACTAAACACGGGGAGGAACACTGGTAACACTGAAGGAGCCCGATTCGTTACAAGTGATATGCATAGAATTCTGAAGTGTAACATTCTCTGGTAGCTTTCAACTAAAAGTTACAGTAGAAAAGCAAGCTTTTCTTGTCAAACAGATCTGGGTTTAACTCTGTGGCTTCCTTTACCTTTTGCCATTTGACTACTATGTTGGGAAAGAATATAAATCTCTGATCCTCGTTTTCATCTGTCTTTACAATAAAGAAAACGTATGTCACTGTACAGGGTCACTACTAGAATTCAAAAGTATAGTCTGTAATATAATATGTACCCATTTAAAGTTAATTTTTTACCTACACACATTTATAATCATTCTTATGCAATAGAATGCATAAGTACTGTATTCTTTTAGCTCCAAATACTGTACTGCAACACCTTGATTTTTAATTTTTGAAATAGTTTTTTGTTGTTATTGTTGTTGTTTGTTTTTGATTTTGTTCAATAGAGAAAAGAGCAGATATATGGACAAGTTAATGTTGTTCCAACTTGATGCTCCCATCTTAGAAGTCTCATTATATGATTATCACTGCACACTGTGAGATTATAATAAATAGACGAATTGCTCTCTCACCTCAAGGAATTCCTTCACGGGGAACAAATGGACCAAGGAGGGAGATAGGACGGGACAGCACAGGTCTCTCCATGCTTCTGAAGGAGAGCATGGCAGGAGATGAGGTAGACAGGTGGGAAGGGCTGAGTGGTCCTGCTAAGCAGTCCGGCTTTGTCTGGAGAGCCACTAGACAGCTCTCTAGGGGAAGCGAGGGACATGATGAAGCTTGCCAATGGGAGAGTCACTTGGGCAGCGCGTGGGGTCAGCTGTCAGAGAGGGAGGGGTTGGCAGCTGAAGGATTAGTGTGAGGGCTGCTGTCAAAGCCCAAGCAAGAGACAGGGCCTGCGCTATAATGAATTGGAGATGAAAGAAGAACAACGCACCACATTGTTCTGTTTGCACACCACCGACATGAGGTTTGAATGAGAATTTGATGAAGATGTGGTTTGTAGACCATACCTAAGATTTACTAAAGCCAAATCTCTGGAAAGAAGAACTCATTATCTACATTTTAAATAAGTATCCATGGTGATTCAGAAACATGAATTGTTTGAAAGCCACTATTCAGAAATCCTTAAGAAGTGGAGTCAGGTTGAACATGGTAGCACATGTCTATAATCCCAGCTACACTGGGGGGCTGAGGCAGGAGGATTCAGAATTTGAGGCCAGCCAGGGCAATTTAGCAAGACCTTGTATATATAACTGAAAAAGGGGGGGTTGGGAGTAGTGTGCTTGCCTGACTCATGTAAAGCCCTGGATTCAGTCCCTAGCAATGCAAAAAATGTAAGTATAGGTAGTAATACTTATGATTTGTAGACATGGGCATCTAAAGGCAGTAATAACATCAGTAAGTTAACTAATATAGAAAAAGAAGTAGGATGTATTAGCAAATGGTTGCACCTAGGTCTAAACAGGTTATAAAGGATGCTGATAGAACATTTGTTTGGGTGAATAGAATAAGGGGTTCAATAGAACAGTTTGGAGATTAAAAAGCACAAACGGGATTATCGATGTATAGGTAACACTTACAACCATAAATGCAATGGATTTTTTTAAGGGGAAGAAATGGTGTAAGGGAAGACCTTTGACTAACATCAGTATTTAAGAACCCAGCAGAAAAGCAACGCTGCCAAAGAGATTACCATTCCACACCAGAGGCCATCAGGAGAGAAGGCGATGATCACACACAACCGCTTGGAGATGGAACTATCAAGGAAAAAAGTGTTTGAGAAGATAAACATTTAAGTGTAAAGAGCTCATAGGCACAGTCTGAAGAAAATAACAAAATAATTTAGGAAATAGTATGTGGTCAGACCAAAGTAGAAGTGATCCATGGGTTTTGACAAAAGGAGAGAAGAGAGAAGTGTGAAGAACAAAACAGACAGGCCTGCAGCAGGGATGCAAAGCAAACAGCTGCATCTTAGGGACTCCTTTAAAGTCGATGCCAGGAATGTGTGTGTTTTAAATGATACTGAAACAAAGCTTCTTGGAGAATAAATCAGGGCAGTAAGGTTAAAAGCATAAAAGCTAGGTCAGAAATCTTAAGGAAGAAACAGAGGCCCTGCATAAGGAAGTGAAAGCAAGTTCCCTTTTTTGAAACTTGAACACTTTACAGGGCAGTCAACAATTTAAGATAGGTAAGACCCAAATATTACCTCTAAGGTGCAAGCTTTGAAGGAGAGAGACTTTTGCCACTGCTGTTTCTGTGGAGTCTTACTACAACTCAGTACCCATTTTCAGATTATTTGTGAAGTGTGAGGTCTAATACAAGTTAATGGAAGGGGCACAATTTTTCAAAAAAAGTAAATGAACAGTTTTACCTGAACAAATATAGTCAAGGAAAAAGTAACTAGATGATTTGGAAAACTTAAACATTAAGAAAAATGGTTGTATTTTTAAAAAATTCCATAAGCTAAAATGGGATTTAAAAATATCTTACACTTTCAGACTGCATGTTTTCTGAGGGGTCATAAAAAGGATGAATTCTTCATAGATTTACCCCGGCATGAACAGTTAAACACAGTGAGATGTTAGGTGGAGTTTAGTAATTCTAGGACACTTTGTTTACTTAGTTTTTGCTCTATTTTTCCAAAGGATATTCTGGACCACTGAAGGAAATTCCTCCTGAAAGATTCAACACCACAGCTGTCCCTAAGTACTATCAGTCTCCCTGGGAACAAGCCATTAGCAATGATCCGGAGCTTTTAGAGGCTTTGTACCCTAAACTTTTCAAGCCTGAAGAAAAGGTGGAACTGCCTGATTACAGGAGCTTTAACAGGTAATTCGGTTATTGGGAGTGACAGTTACATATGTAATATAAAGACTTTTCCACCATGGTTTAAATGCTTGCTAAATGAAAAGACTATAAAAAGCCACATAGGCAGATTTCCATGTCTATCTATGGAAGAACTTTGTTAAAAAAATACCTAGAAAAGCTATGTAAAAAAATTAAAAAAAAAAAAATTGAAAAGTTATCAAGGAAGTGGATTCTTGGAGGCCAAGATCTTGCAGGAAAGGAAAATTGAGAAATTTAAACCATCATTTGGTACTGCTTTTCATCTTGAGGCATATGTGTATTCACTGATACCATCTAGGGTGAGGCCAAGAAGCTGAGCAAACCTTCCCATGGTTCTAAGTCTGAGAAAACCAAAAATAGGAGTATATAATCTTTTAAAGAAGAATCCTGGTTAATGTTCCAAGCTTTCATCTGAAAATCCTAAAAAATATACACTAGAGTAAAACACACAAGTAAAAGACCAGCGTTCACAAAACTAATCTGCTCCCAATCAGCGTAGTCTTAAATTTGATAAAGGCCACATCCTCCAAATCAAAATGTCTGCCGTGATAAAAATTAATCTTCTCTGAGGAGATAATTGTACGATGTGAGTACTCAATCATCTCTACTGTTTTTTGTCCTTCCTTTTTAAAAAATCCCCACAAAATTTCGCATCTTAACCATATTTAAATGTACAGTTCATTGGTGTTAAAAACATTCATAACGTTGTGTAGCTGTCACCACCACCATTTCCATGACTCTTCTCACTTTGTAAAAGTGAGATTCTGAACCCATTAGAGATAATTACTTCTCATTTCCCTCTACCCTAGTCCCCTAACAAACACCATGGTACTTTCTATCTCTCAGATTCTTACTACTTTAAGTACTTCATATAGGTAGAATCATATAGTTTTTGTCTTTTTGACACTAATTTCACTTAGCATGTCCTCTAGTTTTAAAAAATATTTTATAAATTTATATCACCATAAATGTCAAAAGATTGACTACTGTTCATGGAAAAGGGGGTTTGTGATTGGGCAGGGACATGTACAGGGCTCTGGGACAACTCCTAATATGTGTAATCATTCCAAGATTTTTCATTTTATATACACTATATGCACTTACATGAACTTTTCTGTACTGTGCTATACTAAATAACAGAAAAAAACTGAATTCAATAAATAGAATTAATGGCAGATTAGACATAGCTGAAGAGAGGATCAATAAAGTGACATAAGAAAATATTCCAGGTGAAGCAGATAAAAAAAGAGGTCCAAAGTGTACAAAAACAGTAGAAGACACGAGTAGAACAATAAAAATGTCAGTATATACGTGTGATTGGATCTCAGAAGGGAGTAGGGGTGAAGGAATATTGGAAGAATAATAGCCAAGAATTTTTTAAATTGACAGAAGACATCACATATAGGTTCAAGAAATAACACACAACTGAAGAAGGATAAAGTAATGACAATAAGGAAATCTTAAAGCCAACGAATAAAAGATGTATTATCTGCAGAGGAGTAAAATGTGTCAGTTTCCTAATTAAAATTATGAAAAACAATGAAATAACTTTAAAATAATGAAAAAGCTGCCAGTCTATAGTTCTATATCCAGTGAAAATATTCTTTAAAAGGGGGCTGGGGATTTAGCTCAGCAGCAAAAGCGCCTGCCTGGCATGCACAAGGCCGTGAGTTCGGTTCCCGGTATCGGAGAAAAACAAAACAAAACAAAACAAAACAAAATTCTTTAAAGGTAAAATTAAAAATAAAATATACTCATAGGTACATTTTTCAAACAAAGACATTTGTTGACCCTTGCTAGACAATAAGAAAAAGATAATAAAAGAAATGGAAAGATAAAAAATTATTATGTCCACAGAAAATTGAAAATAAGCTATAGGTAAATTGTTACAATTAGTGCTGCTCCAAAAGTAGAGAATACTTTTATACAAAAGTAGAGAATACTTTAATATATTGGTGTCTTAGTAACTGTCAGTAAAGCACAATACCCAATACCTGCAACTTAATGATGAAAAAAAAATTTTTTTTTTTGTACTGAGATTCAAACTCAGGACCTTGCACTTGCCAGGTAGGAGCTTGCACCACTGAGCTATATCTCCAGCATGAAAAGTTTTATTTTGGCTCACAGTTTTACATGTTTTAGTTCATACTTGGCTGGTTATCAGGCAGAAACAGTATGGTAGAAGGGCCTCACAGAGAAAAGATGTTCACATTATGGTGGCTAAGAAGTGGAAAGAGAAAGGAGGAGCCAGGGAGGGAGATAAACCCTTCTGGGTCACATGCTCAGTGACCTGGCTCTTCTGAGCAGGACCCACCGCCTAACACCACATGCAGCACATTCAGGTAGGGCTTCATAAGTGGATTAATCCACTGAGGAATATAGCACTCTCAGGAGCCAATCTCCCTCCAAAAGCCCCACCTGCATGCATGAAAGTTTTGAGGGACATTTGGAATCTATACCATAACAACTGGCGACAAATAACTAGAAAATAGTGTTCATTGCCTTTTACCTTATGATTTGTGCACTTTTTTTTAAAGTATCTTACATCTCAGTAAAATTTTCAATGCAAAAAAAAATCAGATAGGCAAAATATCCAATAAATTTCTGGGCCTTTATTAATTAAATGTGTCAAAAATATTCTTTGAATTAGTCTAGAACACAGTCTAGTCATTCAAAGGAGAGATTAAAATAATTGTTATGTTTAAATGAGTTATTTTCCATGTTGCATGTCAACAGGATTTTATCAAACTACTCAAGATTATGAAAAACATAATTTGACTAAAAATTTGGTTCATTCTACATGTTTGAAAAATAAAATAAGTATCATTTCCTTCTGCTTATTAAGCATTTCAACATGTTGCAATGTTAAAATTTTGTTCTGATATACACTTCCTATTTTTGCTAAAACAAACAGGAGCAACAGACTGAGCAACAGTTTTCAGTTAGTTTCATAGCTCTTGCAAAGAGTAAAATAATACTATTTGTAGCCCTATGTTATAATACCTAATTATTATTATTATCTTAATAAAGCATAAAGATGTAAGTAAGATATAGTCTAATAGCATTCAGTGGCAGTAATGATTGAATGGAAACTTGCTACCAAGTGTAATCACCATGAGCTGAATTCTTATAGTCCTTTTGAGTACATTCAAGTTTTGAGCCGTATTCAAACCCATGTAATAGGTGAAAAAAAAGTAAACTGCAAGCAAGGAAGCTCCTAGCTTTGCTTCAAAAACCTGTGTGACTTTGGGTACTTAACTTCTTCATTTCCTCAGATATAAAATAAATTGTATGATTACATGATAAAGTGCTTTATATAAAATCTATATGTCAGCTATTTAATAGAATAATTTATATTTTGGTGGTTTTTTTGGACTAGGAATCAAACTCAGGACCTTGCGCTTGCCAGGCAGGTGCTTGTGCCACTGAGCTATATCCCTGGCCCTATTTTTTTCTAGACAGCAATTTTACCTTACAGAATAATTAGTAATTGGCATATTGTATATCCAGCATTATCAATTTTTAACAAATGGAGTCCTAATAGTCCAAATCAATAAGAAAGCATCTGTTAACTGAATCTGAATGAAACAGGCTTATTACTCATTATATAGGTATCACAGTATAAAAATCAGGTCAAGCGAGAGCTGTGTTTGGAGAATTAATGTTAAGAGAATTAGAGAGCTGCACAGTTAACTTTCAGTAGAATATTTCAGATCTTTCCATGGAAATTTTTGCTTCACTAACTTTGACTAAAACTTGAAACTGCTTTCAGAATGCTAATAGACTCTCTTTAATTTGTGCCTTGTGGGCAATAAAATTCAAACAGGATGTAGTCTTAGTGGTGCCAAAAAAAAGAAATGAAAACTTTGGCTTCCCAACCACAACCTTCCACTGAATCTGTGGCAGAAGTGGGAGGTGAGTGAAGAAATGGAAGGAAATACTGTCATTTACAAGAGAAGAAAATGCCCATAAATTCACAGAAAAAAAAAAAAAAAGGATGCTAGTTAAAAAAGAAAAAGCAATCCTCTAAATACCAAACCCAAAAAGGAGATCTGGGTGCAGACGAGTGTTTCTTCTTTGACTTAATTCAGAAAATAAATAAATGATTAAATTTACTTCTGGAATTAACTAATGTAAAATCAACTGTACACATTCAGTTTAAATCTAGAAACATTCACCTCCAGCCCCTTGTACCTAATGGTTAACTATTCATTCTTAAAATCCCAGTGAGGGTATGTGACCTGTGCAATTGGACAGGGCCCCCATTTTGAAAGGGCCATACTTGGTTTAGTAATGTTCTACTGTTCTTGTCTTGAGATTCTTAATAAATCTGAACCAGAAGACTTGTGTTTCCATTTTGCACTGGTCCCTACAAATTATGTATCTGCTCCTGATCCAGGCCTCCAAGTTTAAGGTGGCTTTCCTGACCCACCAGGCCCATGGAGATGCATTTTGCCTTGGGCTCCTCTTACCTCCAGATATCCTTTCCTTGCACTATCTTTTTCCACATGTTTTTTCTTCTTATTTCATTCTTTGTTGTCTGTGAGCTCACTGAGGTTAAGATCTACAATATTTTTGTTTTTGATTCCCCAACACATAGTAGAATGTTTAGACATGCTAAAAAGTAATTCATTGTAGAGATAATAGATGAATCAGCCAATGAACAAACTATTGACATACATTGTCAAGTATCCAAAATGATAAATTATTTTCTTGGAAATCTTAAACACTGAAGAGTAACTTTTATTTTAGAATGAATCAAATGTGAGTCCTCAAGTCACTAAATCAGATAAGAAATGAAACACTGAATCAGCTAGTTTTGTCATGAATGAGACAGCAACTGCATAGAACCAGCCCAAGTGGGTTCAGATTCCTAAACACATTGCCCTTCTTAGAAAGTGACCTGAGAAAGCCCAGTACTCATTCAGAATTACATATTTTATAGGGGTGTGGTTTAGGGTAAGGAAAGCAAAATGTGAAAG